CAAAAGTTTATTTTTACATCATTTTGTACATTTTTTTTTTCCATCTCAATTGTAATCCCTGCGGGTTTCCCTTCACCAAGTCATCCGTGTTCCATCACCATAATCCCGTGCATTTCCCACCCCCCACCCCACGGCTCTTCTTTAACTGCACGGAGCCTCCATTTCCATGTTGGAGAAATGGAGTGAGAATATCATTGCAAACTCGAGTGCTTGAAAGCTCAAGTAGGATTGATACTTTAACATAAAAGCAATGACAAACTGTCAGGTGTGAAACAGATCTGAGGCATCATTACTGCCTGTTCCTTACCCCAGACAGGAAACCGTTACATTTTGAAAGGACTTCCAGAAGAAGCAAGCAACCTTAGTGGTATAGAGCACTCATTGGGGCTGATGAGGGCTAGCATTGGGGCAGGATTCCCTCTCCATGGCTGGATTGTTAGGGCAATTTCCCAGAGAGACAGATGGCACTCAAGAGGTTGGGGGAGAGAGAGATTACTTGTCACGCCGACAGACTCAGTGGGATTGGTCCCAAAAGGCTGAGCCCTGAATTACAAGGGTAGTAAGGTTTTATACAGTTTACACAAGGAAACTTGTCATTTTATTTATCATTGCATAAGCATTATCGGAAAGGGGGTCAAGGTAGCCATGGCTACCCCTGTGCACAGGGAATGCCATGCACACAGCAACTGTTCCACACCAGCAAGCAGCAAAATCAAAGCAGCTGATGCCCCCAGCAGCAGGCCTAAAAAAGATGCAAAATCTAAGTAGACTTGGGAAACTTTCTGCTTCAGTATGGCAACTGCTGGCCACTGACTTGGCCTCTGTCTGCTACAGAGCGGAGTATCCTCTCCTCTTGCTGGGTTTTGGGAATTATGGGTCCTCCACCTCAGAGAGGAAGGTGGGTGGTGAACCAGGCAAATCCAAGCAGTGCTCCCCTCCAGGGCTGTAGGGGGGCGTGAGGCCCAGGCATGTACCTGTCCCACTGCCCTGCCTCCACCTGGGGTTCCAGGCATCTCTGTAACGCTTGGGCATTCCTGGTGCTTCCTCTCTCTGGGTCTGCCATTCCACAGTCACTGGGAGCCTGCTCATAAGATTCTTGATTCCTGGCTGAGGGACAAAGAACAGGAAACAGGAGACAGGTGGGTGGTGGCCAGAGGTGAAGCTCTGGGTCCTCCCTCCCTTTCCCTTTTCCCTTGGGCCCTTCCCCAGGTCAGGCCTAGTGGTCTCCTTTGACTGGGGAATCCACCAGGTACTCAAAGGTGCAGAATGAGGGCCGGGCTTCACTGTAGCTGCTGCTTCCCATGAGGGGATTTTCAGCTGAGGGTGTGGGGCGGCAGGGCTCAGAGCATCCTCCCTGTGGGGGTAGACTTGAGAGGGCCCCTGTTTCTCCCCTGCCTACCTTGAAGGCGCCGCTTGGTAAAGATCACAGTTCCAACCACCAGCAGGACAGTGGCCAGGCTGGTGATGATAGTGATGGCAGTGAGTCCAGGAGCAGAGGGCGGTTCTGAGGAAAGCAGAGCAAATGGGGCAACCTTAGACCACTGGGTGTCCGGGAACCTCAGGGCTTTTTGTTGACCCCACCCTTGGCCCCCACAGCCAAGCCCACCTCCTTACCCCAGGCCACACTGAGCGTGTGGTTCAGGCCAGAGTGCTGTACGCGGCAGCTGTATGAGGCCTCTTCCCCCTCTGGCACCCACACAGCTGACCAAGTCTGGTAGGTGCCATCCCCGCTGGGGCGCGTCTCCACATTCTCTGTCTCCGGGGCCGGCTCCTCCTCACCCAGCCACCAGCTCAGCGAGATGCCCCGAGGGTAGAAGCCCAGGGCCCAGCACCTCAGCAGGGAGCGCCTGTCTTGGGTGGGATGCCTTGTCACCCGCACCGTGGGGGGCTCTGCAGGGCGGCAGAGGGAGGAAGATGGGTGAATAGCTGCTCTCTGCCTTCTCTCTGCTCCCTTCTCCCTACACCCATGGGTTTTTCTCAGACTTTCATTCTTCCCTTGTGACTCCCTAAGCACATTAGGTGCCAAACAAACAGCTGTTAAATGAAGGCAAGAGAGAACTGTCACCGTGGTGTGGGATTGGCTGTGGAGTGGGGTGAGCTCTGGCTTGAAGCCCTGCCTGACTCTTGTCTACAGCCCTAGTCTCTTAGGGCTTAATGGGGTGCATCAATCTGTCTCTCAGAGTTGTTCTGAAGGACAGAGTCCAGGCATGACGGCTTAGTGCATGTGGCTACTCCATGGCCCAAGGGGGACCCAGGCATTTGGTCAGAAGTTAAGGTGGGTATGTGTGGGTGTTTCTGGGTGCTACTGACATTTGAATGAGTAGATCTGGTAAAGCATGAGGCTCTCTTTATGGGGTGGGCCTCAAGAAAACAGCTGGGGATCTGAAAAGGACTGAAAGACCGAGTAAGAGGGACTCCTCCTCCTGACTGTGTGCTGGCTATCAGTCTTCTTGTTGTCAGACTCAAAGTGCACACTGGCTCTACTGGGACTCAGACTCGTCAGCTGCAGATCCTAGAACTTCAACACACACACACACCCCACCTTTTGGTTCTGGTGAAAGGTGTAGAATGGCCCCTGGTGCTGAATGAGAGCTCAATGCTCAATTAACGCAGCACTTGGGGAGAAGGACTGTTGTTATCACCCATGTTGTACTCGTGAGGAAACTAAAGCACAGAGTGGACAAGTTACTTCCCCGAGGTCATGCAGCCAGCTAGTCCTAGATCCTGGGTGTGGATCTGGAGATGGCTCTAGGGCCTGAGCTCTGCGCAAGTGCACTCTGCTTTCATGATCGAGTCTTTCCCCTGATGCTATTTGTCCTGTCCCTCCTTTGAGCGCTGTTTTGCCCATTACTTCAGTTCATTTACTCCCATCACTCGGTTACCAGACACCCATGGTTTGCTGGGTGCTCTGACCCGGCTCACCTCCTGCTTCCTCCCTTCACTGCAGCTCAAGGGGCCTTGGCCCACACCACCCACCTTCCCTAGTCCATCCCAGCCCTCAAGTCTCCAGCCCTGCAGTCAGGACTAGTAGTAGTTCAGGGTGTGTCTGCAGCCTGGGAGCATGACAGACTGTGGGAGAAGGTAAGGGGTTTCAGTTTCCCTGGCAGGCCATAGTGGTCCTGAGTCTGCTTGGGGACACTAACCCTTAGGGTCTGGGATCCATTTCCAAGGATCAGAATGTTAAACAAAGGACTTCATGAAGCACCTGGTTTAAGCTGCTTATTCCATAGAGGAAATGAGTCCCAGTGTCTGTGGGTTTATGGGGGACATGGGAACTCCTCACTCAGCCTGGATTGGGAGACTGAGGTTTGGACTTTTACCCCAGTCTCAGGAGGAAACTACTGACTAGTTGGCTATCTTTGTGGGTGCCATGGGCTCATCTGAGTCAGGGGGACACAGTCTGTGCTCCTTAGGCTGAACGGAAGGCTCCCAGTGCCAGGAGCACGGCCTCTGATGTTGCCAGCTGGGCCTTACCTCTTCTCAGAAGGCTCTGGCTTCCCAGCTCCAGGTACCTGCGCAGGGAGACGAGGCAGAGGCTTTCCAGGTAGGCCTTGTCATATGCGGCATAGCAGGGTTCCATCTCCCACCAGCGCTTGGTCTGCAGGGCCACGGGCTGGGCTGAGATCCAGCTCAGGGTTTCTAGGTCCAGTGTCAGGTGGTCCTGCCCATCATAGCCAAACTGCCAGAAGCTGCTGGAGCTGCCGTCCTCCTGGATGTCGCAGCCAAACATGCGCTGAGAGCTGTGCAAGCCTGTCCATGGCAAGAAGGCTGTGGCTGCTGGGCTGCACCTGAGAGCTGGATGATGCCCCCCACCCTCGGGGCTCCAGAGGCAGGAGCAGAGTGTCAGCATTAAGAGAAATGCTCTCCAGGTAATTTCCATGAGCAGGACCTAGAACCTCTGAGCCTCTCCACCTTAGTTTCCATGTGTGGTAAAAAATATTTCAGTTCATCATACACATACTTATAAAGGAAACTTATTTCTTATAAAGGAAATTCATTTATTATTGTAATATGTCATGCTCAAATTGGCTGTTAAAATGTGAAATCTGGTGCTTCTGGCTGTTGCCACTGACGCTGTGGTTGGCCATGCTATCCTGGGTTCTTGGGCTGATGCAGGCCTTCCCAGTCTTGGTCTTTGATAGCTATTCCTCCCCCATTCCTCTGGGAACTGAGGCTTTTAGCCTGGTTGTGAGTATCTGGGTAAGAGCAGAGTGACTGAAGCTGTGCTCCCCACAGCACACCACTCAGAGTCAGCACCCTGTGAGTGGCTGTGAGACAAGAGGGCTGAGGCTCAGAGACATGCTCCCTGTCGCTGCTGACACTGGGGGTGGGCTGGGGGGGTGGGGGTGGGGTCCTCGGCCCTGTTCTCTCTCCTAGCCTGAGCTGAGCTTTAGTTCACTCTAGATCCTAGCCTGAGCTGTGCCTTAGTTCATGCTCGTCAGACCTCCGTCCCCTGCCTGGCAGAGAGCATCTGAGAACCTGGGGCTGGGTGTGATCTGATGCATTTAGGCAGGGTCAGGGAAAGAAGGGGCAAAGCCTCCGCCAGCTTGCTGAGGTCTAAACCCTGGCTGGCTATGGCGGGGCAGCCAGGGTAGGGAGGGAGGAGTCACGGGCCCTAGCGCCTGTGCATGCTTGCTGCTCTGATCCACGGGCTGGCTGCGGGAGCCCAACTGATTCTGAGGCCACTGCTTGGAGGCCACGTGCAGAAGCGTGCCTGGGCAGGTCTGCAGAGCAGCCCATAGCCTCTACTGGACAGCCTGGAGGCTCAGCTGATAGTGTAAGAAGGTGGGGGGCTTGGGGACCCGCAAGGACCTCTTCAACCCACCGTTGCTCTGGTTGTGTAAGCCCATCACGCTCCACATTTCCACCTGTTGCACCTTGGTCCAGGCTTTCTGCTTCTGGGTCTCTGTCTCCCAGTACTGAGTGTCCACAGGTGCCATCCACGGGGCCTGGGGCTTGGCCTTGCCCATTTGACTGTCATATTGGATAAAAGGCTGGTCATCCACGTAGCCCACAGCCAGAAACTGGGGGAGGCCTGGGCTTGGCTCTGACAGGAATAGGTAGTGGTAGTGGAGGGAGTGTTTACCTGCAGAAATACAAAATGGTTCAGGCTCACATGCACTACCAGGACCTGTGCTGGCGTGGTCATGTGGGTGGGGCTGGGGTAGAAACCCAGCCAGTGTTTGCTATCATCAAGAGCAAGGGCTATGAGTTTCCACGAGGAAAAATAATGCTACCCAAATAGTTTAAGTAAAGAACTTATCAGTCATTGAGGCAAAATTCATGCCTTAAGGCTTGTAGACTCTATGTAACCCTAGAGAGTGTCTCAGCTTCTCATTCAGGGCCTACTTACTCACACTTTATAATCATCTGTGGTATGGTTATGTGACTTTTCCTTTACAATTAAAGATATGATTAAAATAAGTTAGCTGTTGGGCCCTCCCTGGTGGCACAGTGGGTTAAAGCACAGCACTAAGAAGCTAAAACCACTTCCACATGAGTTTGATCCCTGCCAGAGGTGACCCACATGGCGTGGCAGACCTCTCCTGACCCGCCCGCTGCTCCCTCAGCAGTGTACTTTGATGATCCACCTGTTGTCCCCCTCTCTGTCTCTGGTGAATCCTCTGTCTCACCACCCCTGCACCTCTGGCCTGTAACCCAGTTCTGTACGCAAATAAATAAATAAATCTTAAAAAAAAAAAAAAGTTAGCTTCTTGGAAGCTTGACTCATGTGGAGCATCCTCAGAGGGGCCTGGACTTTCCTCTCAGCCTGGACTGTTGCTGCCCAGCCGACAGCACCTGACCCCACTCCGCTTCCTCCTGCTCCCGCACCAGACACTGCTGATGGAGCTCTTTGCTCTTTAAAACCAAATGCTGTTTCTAGGTTGTTCTCTACCAAGGATCCAAAAACACCAACTCATCAATTCAACTTGGTGCCTGTTAGCAGTCAGTCCTGACTCAGGCTATTGTAGCAAATGCTGTGTCTCTTAAAAACTCAGGCAAACTTTCTCAGAGATATCCTAGGTCTATCATTCCCTTAACTAACATAAATTTTTTTTTTCTTCAAGAATGCCTTTCTCACCAGACTTATTAGATATTTATCCCTCGGCACTCCCCTTCTCTGTTTTTTTTCTAGAGCACTAGCCCCAGAGCCTGCACTTCACTTGTTTTTCTTGTTAATGGTTTATCTCCCCCACTGTGGTATAAACTCCAAGAGCAGCGGTTCCTATGTGGGTTATTCTGGTTTCCTAGTTCCTAGCATATCTTCTGGAACACAGTAGGTGCTCAATGTTTGGCTATTCCAACGTGAACAGAGCAATCAGGGGCTTCTCCATGCTCACAAGACAGTTTCTGCTGGTTTTAGCCACACCACCCAGGCCTCTGCACTTGTTCCTGCTGTCCAGGCACTCTGTCCCTCTTTCCTCATGGTCAGTGTGTCCTCACCCCTCAGATTGATCCTTCAGGTGTCTCTCCTCCCAGGAAGCCCTCGTGGTCTCCCCAGAGGTGTCTCAACAGTGTCCTGTGCTCCCTGTGAAGTCTGTGGGCTCTGTAAGGGTGGGTAACATACTTTCTCCCATGGCCTCTCAGCCTGCACGGCACACAGTGGGCATTTACATTCTGCATTTACTGAACTGACAAAAAACAAGTGTAGGTATAGGATAATCACAGTAGACATTTTGGGAGTGGTCACTCCGTGTTCGGCACTGGTCTAACTGACATTATGAGACACCAAAGGGGTCTATGTAGTTGGTTCCATTTTACAGATGAGGACACAGAGGCCAGGGGAGGTCTGTATTGTACCCAAAGGCATGTACTAGAAAGAGGGGAGCCTGAATTCTCTCACCAAAGCCTCTACTTTTTCTCAACTGAGGAAAGAAAAACTCTTGTCTCATGGTCAAACAAACATCCTTATGGTAGGGAGAGGGGTTTGAGCCAAGGGCCCATGTTAAGTCTGGATACCTTAAGCCTCAAAGGAAATGACCAGTCTCTCTCTTGCAAGTACAGTTTCCTTGCAACCTCTGAGTTAAGACCAGTGTGGGATGCTCCTGGGCTGGCAGTTATGATGGGCCTGCTGGCTTTGAGGGCAACAGATGCTGTGTCCTCTTGTGGTGAGAGACTATCCCTGAATTGCCTCAGGTCATCCTCCCTGGTGTGAGCAGGGCTGCTGGACTCCTGGGTAGTCCAGGTGAAGGTGGGGGTTTGCTGTTCCATCTGCCTTCTCACAGGAAGCAGTGTAGCAGGCTGGATAATGTACCCCATCCCCCAGATCCCTGGAACCTGTGAGTGCTACCTTATATTATACCAGAGATTTTGCAGATGTGATTAATGGCGAATCCTGAAATGGGGAGATCATCTGGACTGCCTAGATAGGCAATCCATATAAATTTGTCCATATAAAAAGGGAACCAGGGGAAAGTTCACGATTGTCACAGGAGAAGGTGACATAGAGATGGAACAGAGAAAGATGGAGAAAGGCACATTGAGCCGAGGAACAAAAGGAATAGGGCAGGCAATGGGGGAAGGACAACTCAGACATATTCTCACGCTGGCTTTCCTGTTCTCAGGAGCAAGGCGGGCATAGGAAGAAGAGATGGAGTGGGGTGGGGTGTTAGCCGAGTGAGGTGCCAGTCGTCTGAAGATCAGACTCCAGCCCTGCAGGGTCATTCAGAGGCTCTGGATTCTGTGTCACCCACTCCGGCAAGGGCTTCCCACCCTGACAACCCACCATATTCCCAGACTGTGCCCTCCGGAGGTTGGAGCTCTTGGTCTCTGCCATCCTGCTCCTTCTCCATCAGGCAGGTTGGGTCTTACCTCCAGGCCAGGGCTTGTTGTCCAACTTCAGGTTGGCCAGTTCTGCCATCACCTCCTTTGCAAAGGAAGCTGGGTTGTCAGCCACCACAGGCAGCCCCCAGGGACTCTCTGCAAGGAATAAATGTAGGGGAAGTATGAGTTGCAAGGTGTAATTATTCTGTATATTCTTGTGTCTGCTAAGAGAATCTGCACTCAGCATATCAGAGAATGATATGGCTCACAGCCAACAGGCCAAGTTCTGGGCCTCAGGGCCAGGTGTGACTCTTGAGCTTTACACATAGCGATTTACTGCCTTTTGCTGTATTTCTGTGCGATGAGCCTCATGGGAAGGAGGCCAGGGCTGGATTGTCCCCACCTCTGTCAGAGGTTTTCTACCTGTCGCAGGTCCCCAGCAGCTTGGAAAATCTTGACATCCTGGACAGAATCGGTCTCCAGGGCGGGGACCTGGACATTGGCAGGCACTATGCTCCCAGGCTGTGCTCACGTGCTACAGGCAGAGGGCCCATGTCCTGCCTGGCCACATCCACTGCCTGAGCTGTGCAGCCCTGACCTCTCCTCTGTAATACTGTTCATCTGACTGACATCTGCGGCACATCTACTACGACCCAGGGACTGAGCCAGACCTGAGTGCATGGGGACAGAGGTGACGGGGACAGACATGGCTCCAAGGGGGCTCAGGTCCGGTAAGGAGAGGGATAAATGAACAATTAAGGGTCCAGTAAGGCAAGTGGGGGGTGACGAGTGTGGGACTGTTGCAGAGGCAACAGGTGCCAGAATACCCTGGGGCAGTGCTAGGGGACAGGGGCCTTTTGGCTGAAGCCTGGAGAAGACCTTGCTAACTGGATTATCTGGCAGTGGGTGGGTGAGGGAGGAACATTCTAGTCTGGGGAATCTTAGGGTGCTATCCCTGGACCATCCCAACTCCCCGTGAATCAAACACTGGGGGTAAGCACAGTTTTCTGTAGTTCTAGTCCTTTGGTGACTCAGAGGTAGTTTTACAGTTTGAGAACTACTGCTCCTGGCAAAAAGGACTAGTAAGTGTGATGATCCCTATGGTGAGTGTGATCAACCAAGGCCAAGGGCAGACTGCAATGGGAGATATGGGTCTGGGGAAGAAAGCAAGGGCTAGAACACCTGCCTGTGGCTTAGTCTCCCATCTGAAAGGGAGTTATGAGTGTTAACCTTGTTGATATTACAAAGTGCCTAGAACAGTGCCTGGTGTAAGGGCGTGCTGTGGGAGGTATATGTCACATCAGTTGAAGGAAGAGTCAGGTCAGTGCCTATTCTTGGGCTAGAGTTCAGGGGAAGGTCTGGGCCACAGGAATGGTGTGATGTGGTTGGTAGGGAGGAGACCCTGCTCTCTGGGATTACATGGGCTTACAGGAAGGGTGAGGCTGAGCAAGAAGAGCTTGTGGAGGCATCCAAGCTGGGGGCAGGGGGAAGGAGGAGGAGGAGGAAAGAAACAGAAGGGTAAGAGAAGTCTCAGGGGTCATCTTCCTTGAAGTCCCATAGGCGTGCTCCCTCAATGCCCACACAAACCCCTGAAAATCTTAGGGCCCTAAGAATGATACCAACTCTACTCTGCCCGTGCTCTATAAATGGAACAAAACCTGGCTGACAGCACATCTATGTACAACATGGTTTACTAAAATATTTTAGGCCCACTATTGAGACCTACTGGTCAGGAAAAGATTCCTTTCAAAATATTACTGCTCATTGAGACTGTACCTGGTCACTGAGGACTCCAATGGACACGTATTACACTATTATTTTCACAAGTGATAAAACATTTATTAAGGAATATTTCTGGTTTTCAATTAATGTATTTAACAAGTTTATTATGTAAGGCTATAGCTACCAGGGATGATTCCTTGGATGGAACTGGACAAAGTAAATTGAAAACTTCTGAAAAGGACTCACCATTTTAGATGCCATTAAGAAGATTCATGGTTCATGGTGGGGATGGTCAAAATATCAACTGAATAGGAATAGGAACTGGAAGATGTTGCTTCCAACCCTATAAATGACTTTGAGGGGTTAACAACTTCAATGGAGAAATTAACTGTAGAACCACAATCAGAAGTGGAGTCTAAGATGTGACTCAATCTCAAGATAAAACTTCAGTGCATGAGGAGTTGCTTCTTATGATGAGCATAGTGGCTTCTTGAGTAGAATCTACTCCTGGTGACTATTGTTAAAATAAGAATATTTAGAATATTCATAAACTTAGTTAATAAAGAGGTGGCAGGGTTTGAGAGGATGATACAATGTTGAAAGAAATCCTACCTCTACTGTGGGTAAAATACTACTCACAGAAATCTTTCTGTGAAAAGTAGAGTCAACCAATGCAGCTAACTTTTTGTTGTCTTATTTTAAAAAACTGCCACAGCCACCCCAGCCTTTAGCAACCACCATCTTGAGCCATCAGAAGCTACTCACAGAACACGAGACACTCCAGAGTAAAAGGTTATGACTTATGGAAGGTTCAGATGATAGTTTTTCTTTTTCCAGCAATATTTTTAAATTAAGGCAACTACATTTTTAAGCTATTGCGCATTTCATACATTATAGTGTAAACACAATTTTCACATGCACTGGGAGCCCAAAGAAGTTCTCTGGCTTGCTTTATTGTGCTATTTGCTTTATCACAGGGGTCTGGAACCAAGCCTGCAATACCGCTGATTGTGCAGTAACTGAATCTTCCTCCTAGGGTGGGCTGAGAGTTGGGACTCCTGCTGAGGCATTCATGTTATCTGTCCCCTGAAAGTCACTTTCTTATTCCCAACCTTCTGAAAGGAAAGTGGCTTCCAGAAACATTGTGAGTGGCCTTCTGGGAATAAGGCTGCCTCCTCACCTGCCTTCTCCTTTTGACACTTTGGTATACATTGGGTTGTCCTTCTATTTTTTTCCTTTCTATTGGGTTTGGCGTTCCACCTGTTTGGGCCAGTCCTGACCATTCCCAACACAAAGCTCCAGGGCCTGTGCACACACCATGACCATGCCTGCCACAGTGGATCTTCTTCTGCCCCTATATTATACAAGGGAGGTGGTACAAGAGGGGCAGAGGTACTTAGAATGGGTTCCATGGATTCCTAAGGCTGTGCAGACCTGGAAACCTGACTTTAGGAACCTCAACTCAAAGGGAAAATAGCAGCCTTTACTTTCACTAACCTCCATGGAATTTTAGCCTTTTCCTTATAAGGAAACTTCTTCCATCAAGAGTTCCTCAGCAGAATTGACAGGAATTTGGTTCTGGGTAGAAGGCACAGTGCACCTTCTGTCATATGACAAACATAGTAGACACCTGGAAATAACCTCTTCACTTCCCATATTTTGGGAGTTCTTAGTGTTTTTTTGGTTTTGTTTTTCATTCTCTTTTTATGTGGGGTGTAGTGGTTACTCTGGTTGCTATTTAATGCATTTTAATTAATCAGTTAACTTAGAAGCACATATATTACATATCACAAGTGTATATTTCTAGCTGAAATAATGTTAAAAGCTTTATAGAAAGGTTATTCGGTTTCCTTTGCAGTCCTAAACATTTCATTTTATGTATTAAATCCTGAGAAGAAGCCCTAGACAACAAGGTTAGAAACTCCGGCTGCAGATCTCAGTGCTGCCACCCAGCGCCCACTCTGGGCCCTATTTTAAATCTGAATAGTAAGGAGGATGCTCAGAGGGCCCAAATGGCTTCCAGGAAGTGAAGCACTTACTTATATAAATAGAGCCAGACTCGAAGGACACTAACTATTATTACTACTACTGTTATTATGTTAGGGCATCTATGTGGCCAGGGTGGACTAAATGCGCTGTGGGCACGATTCTGGGCACCTGATTGGGTTCTGCGCACCAGAATTGAAACTGGGAAAGAACGGAAATACCCGGCTAGATCAGCGAAATACCCGTTGCATTTCTTCATCCTCTAACTCCTTTTCAGAGGTGCCCTGGCAACCCAAGAAAGCCTCATCAAAAGGCCAAGGAGACCCACCGCGAAGGCGGGGATCTGAACGAGTTAACGGGAAGGGGACGCGCGGACCATCCTCAGATTCCTGCTCCCACGAGCTTCCCTAGGAAATTGGCGTCCGGTGGGTCGGTTGGCTAGCTCACAGTCAGCCGCGCTGCCACCGACCCCACCCACAGGGTCGCTTACTCCTATCTGGGCGGCAAACTCAGCTCGCCACCCCTCACCCTCCCTCTCGTCCCGGACAACCCTGGGTCAGTTCTCCAACTCAACTCACGGTCTTCCCCAAACCGCGAAGTGGCCCACGCACTCACCTCAGACTTTTACTTCGCGTACCCCACCCCACCTGCGCTGACCCGCGTTTGCAGTTGGGTCATCGGTTCCCTGCTTCGCGGTCACCATTCACCTGCTGCGCGCTCCGGCACCAGACCCCAAAGCAGAAGTAGCAGCAGCTGCCCGGGGCGCAAGCTCCCTGGGCTCGGCTGGCTCCGGGCCGCGGGTCTCGCGTGGTGCCCCAGGGCGCCAGTCCCTTGGAGGCAGTCTTCCGCTGTGCCGCCCGCGGCCTGGGACCAAAGTCAGCCCGATTCCACCGACGGACGCTTTCTCGCCTTGGTCAGAGGCGGGCAGGTGCCCTGAGTCGGCGGTGTAGCGCGGATGCAGCCTAGTCTGGGTTCAGAGCGCGACTCCGGCTCCGCCCCTCCCGGCTCTGGCCACGCCCACCCACGGTAATCGTAGTTTCTGGGTTTCCCTACAAAAACCTTTCTGTCTGCAGCATCTGTCATCAGATTCGAATACACCTGTGATTTCTATTGGGGATTCAGGTACAGTTTCTGCTAATCCTATTGAGATTTACCACGTTCAGTGAGCATGGGAACAAGGCTAAATTTCAGCCACACTAGTAAAACAAGTTATTTTTCCTATTCAAGTGCAGACCCTCTGAATTCTGACCAGGGAGTTCCACGTTCAGGACAACTGCTTTCAGCTGTGCAGTTTTCGATATTTGAAAATCGAAACATCAGAGGGGGACTTGGTGACCCTAACTGGGGTGGGTGCTGAGCGCCCCACACATTAGAGGGCGGGGTCGAGGATGGCTGAGGACCCGCCCGCCTTGTGAGGTCTTGGACCTCCTGGGCTTGACTTGCTCGCAGTGTCTTGTCAGACTCCTGAAGTGTGCAGCAGGATTCTAATGATCTGAGTTTGGAACATGACCTTTTTTGAGAGCTATATTGACAAAGAAACACATGGATGGGAAAATATAAACTTGCAAGGCAAGTCTGGTTAATCAAATAAAAATAAGGAGAAAACCTTGCAAAATTACTGTTCACATTATGATATTATTCTATTCACAAAGGCTGTGATGTATCTGAAGACATTAGTAATTTTTGCAGAAATCAAGGAGAAAATCACTTTTTCCAGGCACATGAGGGCATAACTTTGTTTTGGTTTGTTTCAAGGTCTCTGTTTTCCCAGGGCACTGCCGTTTTTTAAGAAAACTGAAAATCCTTCATTTTAGGATCCTCTTCAGAGCTGGGCAAACTATGACAGTTGACTGTGGGACCTGAGGAGCCTGGTCATACAGAAGCAGTCAGACCTCATTTTGCTTGCACTGTGCACTGAATCTTCCAGGAAGGCAGCTGCACTGTAGAGAAGCGAGGTGGCACCTCACTAAGAGGGGCTCACCTTCTGCAATGGTATCACCCCACCACCCATTCTACCTGTTCTTTTTGTAGGTCTTGTATTTACAGAAATTTTGCAGCATGTATTTGCAAATGACTGTCTATTCATATGTTGTCTATATAGTCAAATCAAACCTTTGCATCTTGAAACAAATGCTATTTATTATTTTTTGGTTTTTAATACTTTTTGTGACAAGCAGGACATTATATTGATATTAATTTTTAATTCTGTGGACATATAGATTAAATTATATTTCAATTCCTTTTAGGATAGGAAAAGATGTTACAAAATCTTTGTAATGAAGAGAACTATTCTGATGGGACTACACACACACACATACACACACACACATACACACAAACACACACAGGTAGACTCAGTCGTGGAGCAGGAAAAGAGTTTAAGCAGGTGGGGAGAGCCTTCTGGAGTTGGTGATGAATGACCTGAGTCTTGACAAAGAAGTCAAGGAAGACAAACTAGTAATGTTAACATGGACAACATAATTACATCCACAGAGTTCACTGGACAAGGATTTCTGCGGGTCAGGACTTCGATAGGTTTCTGTAGTATATGCTACCCTCTTCCAAGAGAACTCAGGAAACTGGGATTCTCAGGGGACCTCATCTGATTGTCAAAATCCTTACTGAAGTAAGAAAGGACCGCTCAAAAGCTGAGTTGGAGACTTGCATTATTTATTAATTAATTGCTGTTTTTGGAGTACCTAATTAATTTTTTTTTTAAAATGAGGATACCAAGCAACACATGAAGAATCACTCAGTGCTGGCAGCCTGGGTGCCATCCCAGGCCATAGTCTGCACACTCCTTTGTGGCTGTGCCTGTAGTGACAGGACATTTCACCTCGTCTTTGCCGTTTGCTGTGAACTCTGAGTTATCATTAAAAACAAAGAAAAATGGGGCCCTCCCTGGTGGCGCATCAGGTTAAAGCACAGCATTAAGAAGCTAAGGCCACTTCAGCATGAGTTCCATCCCTGCTAGCCCCGCATGGCACCCCAGACCTCTCCTGACCCGCCTGCTGCTCCCCTCAGCAGTGTACTTCCTCAGTCTGCCTGTTCTGCTCCCCACTCTGTCTCTGGTGAAGCCTCTCACCACTCCTGAACCTCTGGCCTGTACCCCAGCTCTGTATGCACAAATAAATAAAACTTTAAAGAAAAAAAGAAAGAAAAATACCATCTTTTCTGTTGTGGACAGCCAATGAGAAGTTCTCAACTATGAACCAAAACTCAGAATCTTAATGAATTTTCAGCAGGGGAAGCTGGAGAGAGTGCACTAGTTATGTATAACAATATGATCAGTTTTTCAGGTTGGATTGGTTCTATCAGTTTAGAAACAAAAAAAGTGTAATTTAAGTTGTTATTTATGTGTGTACTTACATAGTCAGCTGATCAGTTAGTCTGTCAAGTATGTGAGCAGGAAATGAACTTTTGCTTTCCTTGATCCATTATGTATTTTGGCTCTGATTTAGAGGTTTGATACCTCGACTCTCATAGAACTCAACTTCTCTCTGACATTTGCTTGGTTCTAGAATATTTGCTATGATTTCCTGTGTGAGGGGAAAATTATCTATAGATGCTAGAAAGGGAATGAAAATGGAGAAGTGGGGGTTTCAGAGGTTCCAGTGAGGTATTAATGAAGATCTCACATCGCCCCTTCTCTCCTGCTCTCTGGGAGGAAGCCCAGAAAGGCCCAGATTATCCAAAGGGACTGTTTTCAGACACTGTGGCAGGTGACCGAGTGCTTGCATGCCCATGCAGGAATTCTGAGGACAAATCAGGCCCGGCTCCAGTGAGTGGCTCCTTCAGCCACAATAGAGATCTTTCTTTTCTTCTTTTAGAAGCCAGAGTTTATTTCTATTTAAAACAATACTCAAAGGGGTTTAAAAAGTTCAAAGGCCCTTTCTACCGCCTCTGCCAATCTGACACCTGTGAAAAACTTGTGCAAAGGGAGGCAGGAAAAAAACCAAACAGCAAGTTACCAGAGTTCACCCCTAACTGCACCCAACTACAGAAGGTGGAATTGTGGGTAAGGCTCAGGTGAACTGTTTCTCCAGGAGAGACTCAGAATGAATGGGAAGGCTGAGCATCAGCAGAGGGGCTGTGATCCAGAGGTGAGTTTTTCCAGTGGGTATTGGAAATATCTCATCAACAAACATTCAAAGAACAGTCTCCGTGGTTACTGGCTCATAGTTGCTAACAGCAAAGAAATTTATCAATTACATTACTTCCAGATTAATCAGAAGAAGAGAGGGAAAAGAAGGACTGGAGGTCATTTATCTGTAATATTTAATGTGAGTTCTTGGTTAAAACTTAGGAACCAGGGGGGAAAAAGGTCCATAGGTCCAAAGGATGACAAATCTCTCCTTGTTTGGGATGATGAAGCTCCAAGTGCGAGGGGCCAGGACTGTGACTCCAGCCCCTTGCTCAGGGAAACTCCAAAGAGTTTTCCATACTGGTTGTACTAGTTTGCATTCCCACCAGCAGTGCAGGAGAGTTTTTTTTTTTCTCCACATCCTTGCCATTTGTTGTTGCCAGTTTTTTAAGATGTGCCATTCTCACTGGAGTGAGGTGGTATCTCATTATGATTTTAATTTGCATCTCCCTTATTACAAGTGATATTGAACATTTTTTTCATATGCTTGTTGGCCATTTGCATTTCCTCTTTAGAGAAGTGTTTTTTAGCTCTTCTGCCCATTTTTTAATGGGGTTATTTACTTTATTTTTGTTGAGTTTTGTTATATATCTTTATTTATTGTTAGTTTTGTGTAAGAAAAAATTTTCCCAATGTGATATCTATTTTTTTGTAATTTCCCTTCTCCTGCACAGAAGCTCTTTACCTTGATGTAGCCCCATCTGTATATCCTTTCCTTCACTATTGTTGCATTGGGTGCTATATCTTTAAAGATGTTATTGAGGTGTATGTCCTGTAGTGTTTCACCCATCTTTGCTTCCAGTTATTTTATGGTCTCCATTGTTATGTGTAGGTTTTTAATCCACTTTGAGTTGGTTTTTGTACATGGCGCAAGGTAGTCATGTAGTTTCATTTTTTTTTGCATGTAGCATGCCAATTTTCCCAGCACCATTTGTTGAACAAACTTTCTTTGTTCCATTGTATAGTCTTTGCTCCCTTGTCAAAGATTAGCTGCTCATAAACTTGTGGGTTTATATCTGGGTTTCCTATTTGAATCCAATGGTCTGTGTGTCTGTTCTTGTTCCAGTACCATGCAGTTTTGATTATTATAGTTTTGCAGTATAGCTTGAAATCTGGGATTGTGATGCCTCCATTCTCTTTCCTTTTGGTCATGAGAGTTTTGGCTATTTGAGGTCTTTTGTGGTTCCATATGAATCTCATCAATATTTTTTCTATTTCTTTGAAGAATGTCATTGAGATTTTTATTGGGATGGCATTAAATCTGTATATTGCTTTTGGCAGGATGGCCATTTTGATGATGTTAATTTTCCAGATCCATGAACAGGGGATGTCTCTCCATTTCTTGATGTCTTCTTGTATTTCTTTTAACTGTGTTTTGTAGTTTTCTTTGTATAGGTGTTTTACCTCTTTTGTTAGGTTGATTCCCAGGTGTTTGATTTAAAAATTTATTTTAAGAGAACATTGAGGTAGTCACCAGTGAGAATGGCACATATTAAAACAACTAGAAACAACAAATTTTGGTGAGGATGTGCAGAAAAAGAAACTCTCCTGCACTGCTGGTGGGAATGCAAACTGATTCAACCACTATGGAAAGTTGTTTGGAGGTTTCTCAAAAGGCGAAAAATAGAGCTTCCATATGACCCAACAATCCCACTCCTAGGTATCTACCCAAAGGACACAAAAACATTGATTCAAAAGGACACCTGCACCTCCATGTTTGTTGCTGCTCTATTTGCAATAGGGAAAATGTGGAATCAACCCAAATGCCCAAAAATAGATAACTGGATTAAGAAGATGTGGTACATATACATAATGGAATATTACTC